TTAGGTGACGGGCTGAAGCCGCTCGTCCTTGTCTATGTGTTTTCTTTGTTATTTATAAACCCCAACGCCCATTTATAATGGCTGCTCCACGTGTTGCCGTCGACAGTGGGACTAAACGCACGAGCGAGGCCAGGACGCCCGCTAAAAGCAAAAAGGCATTTTACGAGTACAAGCAGCTAAAACACTTTGCCTGCCAGCCACATGCACTTCATTACAATTGCTGTCTTGGGCCTGTCGTGCGAGCACTTTTACCCGCTCTTGTACTCTTTGTATTGCAATTTTAATTTCCGCCTTCACTTTGTCTAGATTCAGTTTTGTTTGCTGGCGTTTCTTTTGTCTGTCTCATTTCTCACTCTCTCTCTCTCTCTCTCTCTCTCTCTCTGTCTCTCTCTCTCTCTGCCTCTCGCTTACACACAATGGGCGCAATGCACATTTGCCATTTACGCTGCTTGCTGCCTCGCTGTGCTGATTTACACATTTGAGAAAATGTTCTTCTTCTTTCGCTGTGTGCTGGTGGGGTGGTGGGGTGGAGGCAAGCACATGGATTCACTTTTTCCGCACTTTGTTTTGTCATACTTTCTCTCCTTGCACTTGTTTTGCATTCCATCGTTGCATACAAAACAGGCAAACGCCAGGAGCTGTTTTTCAATTTTCCGCTTCAACTGTTGACGCAAAAAATAAAAAAATTGCGAACGATAAAGATGGACGCTCCCGACTGCTAAACTTGCTATAGACAATGTAAGAATCTTAATGCTTCCTTTTTCAATCACAAACTTAAATTTTGCAAATAGCTATCCATATTTAATAAATAAATACTTATTAATATATACAAATTAATAGTTTGTTTAATAACATTTTAAACATCAATAATAAAACTAGAAGAACATTTTTTAAAGCCTAGATTCTTATGTTACTTTCATGTTCAGTTTACTGAGTTCAGTTTACATTTCCCGCTTCAAGGGCAGTCTCTGCCATTCCACATGAATATGCAGCCCCTTGACAAACTCCAAAAATCTATGTTTCTGCAGCGGCACAAGCAAATAAATCTTTCGCAGCACAATTTTGACCTGCAGGTTGAATTGAAAAAGAAACCCGCGCCTTATTTGACTGGCCAGGCCCGTCCTTGGCTTTGTTGGATTGGACTCCTCGTCGTAATGAGCCGGCCGGTAAGTGCCCCTGTACGGCTTTGTGGTTTCTGGCTAGCCAAATGCCAAATTGTACCTTGTGCTTGGAGAATTCAATTTTCGAGCTTATGACCAGACCATAAAAGTGCAAGTATGAACAGTGAAATCTCGGATAAAGGCATCTGCTTTGACGAAACATAATAATCAATTCCAAGAGCTATTTAGAGGGGAAGGGGCTATCGCTGATATGTTTCCGCAGTTAGACTCAACGTAAATACATTGCACAATTTTGAAAATAACATTACAACCACTATAATTGTATCGTCCTGTAAATAATTCAGTTCATTGCTTAAAAGGTTAGGTTTTATTTTTTGTGTGTTTTAGAAGCATCCACTGTATAAATGTATTTACAAACACACATTCCTATATGTACTACATGCTTATATACGCATGTGCGTCGCTATGTCTATCTCCTGCTCCTGAGGTATCAGGTAATTTCACAAATGTCCTCGGTTTTTGCTCTGGCTTGACTCTGGCTTACCGTTGCTCGTTTAGTTGTGTCCCTTTTATATGCCCATTCACCCATATTCGTACATTCACACACACTCACACACTCACACACACACGTTTACATTTGGGATTTGCATGTGTTGCATGAACTTTTTTGCAATGCGGGACCATGGCGCGTTCCATGCGCCTTTATCTCTCACTCAGCCCGACTGCTTATATACGTTTGTATGTTTAGAAGTACATATATATGTATGTAGGTATGGCTGCGCATGCATGTCCAACACTGGAGATTTAAGCTTAATATAAAATTTATGCGTGTGGCTTTTATGAATGTGTATTTTGGTTGGAAGTGTGTGTGAGATTGTGGCTCTTGGCACTGCTTTTTGTTTATTTTATGTTTCATGTCCTGCTTTTGTCTACAAAAGTAATAAGGCGAAGTCAATTGAGATGTTGCGCCATAAAGGTAGCCTTATATAGATAACAATGAAAACGGATCAACTTCGTATATTACGTATACGCCCCAAATAACGAAACGTGATTGTTAAGTTCCGAGCAAGCCTTGTATCAAATATAGGCTACAGCCCACAATAGAAATACACTTAATCTTTTTATATAAAATATCTTTATCCAATTTATGCACTTTTCAAGGGCGCAAATATATAAGAAACAAAAACTTTGCTCGAACACGAAAAACTCAACGTGAAGAAGAGTTTAAAAAGAATAACAGTTTTTTAATTAAGGTTGTTTTTTTAATTAAGGCCAACAAAAATTATTACTTTCGAGAAAGCACGTTGTACCCAAAAAGTTTCTGTTGTTATAAGCATGCATGGCAGAATACTTGTAGCTTGTGAGAAATGTAAAGTAGAAATATAGAAAATTAAATAGACTCTATTTGCTTTGAGTCTAAAAGAGACAACATATAAGAAGTTTGTTCATAAACGTTCATCCTGACAGATCAACAGCCGGACAATTAAATATACGGATGTCGCTAGATCAAGCGCTACGTCATGCTGATAAAGAATAAATCGTTTTTAAACTACAGCTTGCAGTGAAAGGTATACGAAATGAGAATCAGGAAAAGTAAACTTTCATTTCTAGGAAGCAATGCACTCGACAATGACTTTGATTCATTTATTTACAAGCTGAAAAGAATTGTATTAAATCGAAATAAATAGTTTTAGCAATAACATTTTAGTTAGATTATTTAATAATTTAAGGTAAATTATAGGGTGAAGATTAAATTAACGAATATATACATATACATATACATATATATATGTATTTTTTGCTACAGAAACAATATATTTATAAAGCTTAATATAACATTTTTTCCTTTGCCTTTAAAAGGCTCGCTAAGTTGGTGCTTGAAATTATCAGCTACTCAAAGTTGTTTTAAAATTGTAGGCAAACAATTACATATTAACCTTTGATTCTAGGCCTGCGCCAAAGTCAATATTAAACTTCTGACAAGCTTTTCATTGCCAAATGTATTGTACAGCCTCCGAAAACAATGAAACCAATAAATTTCTTCGTTGGGGCGCAACAGCTGATGACACAAAACTTTGCCTATGCATTGTGCCAAATAATTCGGAGCCCACAAGGCCGGCAATGCCCCAGGATTGACGAGCTCGCATAGTCTACAAATATATAACAAAGTCAAGAACATATAGCTTTAAAAAGTTTCGCTCGATGGCAGTGCCAACGAAATACTTTCAATAAGCAATTTCCTTAAGTGCTGGCTGCCAGCTTGGCTGACTGATTCCCCTTATATCTGCCCACAACCACTGTCAACATCAGCATCACCATCAGCATCAGCATCAACGTCAGCCTCAACGTCAACCCACTGCCATCAATATGACTAATCATGCATATATTTCATATAGCCTATAAGCCAACGTACAGCTGTCAACTCAAATTAAGTCAAGCACAGCGCGCCACGAAATTCACTTTTGTAGGCAGCTACGAAGGACAGATGGGCGGGCCAGGGCGGGCCAGGGCGGTCGGGGCGGTCGGAGTGGTCTGGGCGGTGTTGGTGCGGCGGCAAAAGCCGTTCGAGGATTATTAAAATTACGCATACGCCGCGTTTTAAATGAACTGCGTGCACACTCCCGCTCAAGGGGCTCCATTAATATTAGAGAGAAAAGTAAGCGAAATTTTCTCAAATTGAGGGGGCGTGGCCCATATGCGTTTTCGGCTTTCATTTAAGTGGGCGGCTGATTTATATTGCTCGTGCAGAATAAAGTTGTGTAGACAATCAGCTGCTCAAGCTGATAAAAATAAACAAAACATAAAACTTGGGCACTTACCTTAAGGCAAAGAAAACAAAAAATATAAATTATTTTTGTTGAAGCTCGCATACTCTTGCAATTTCCTTTTCTAATTCATCCTTTCTATACATTTATAAACGTCTATTTTAAGTTCCTTGTGAGTTCTCCTTAAAAGAATGTCTACTACTATCTGTTCTATCCGTTCGGTGGTGTATTTTTTGTTTCTTTAATCAACTTAAAATACAATATACATAAGTAAGTTGGGTTACTTCGATATTAATATTGATGGCAATACAATACAACATCGATCTATTAATCGAATTTTAATACATGTAAGGTCCACACATTGTAAAAATTACATCAGGATGCACTACAACTTACACTTACAACTAAATTTCATAAGAATTTGATTTACGTAACCCTTTAGATAATCATAAAAATATTATAAATGCATAATCATTGCTTTATACAAAATACCCAAAGCAGTACCGAGGGTACTGTACGGGAATCCAATAAATGGAAGGGTAGGCAAACAAAATGTTATAGACAGGCGATGGCGATGACTTTGGTGGGCCAACACTAATAAAAGGGATCGGGCAACTTGAACGCATTGTTGGGCATTTTAATTTTTATGATACTACTTGCCGCAAGCAAAGAAATTAAGCGCACCGAGTCGAGCCAAGTCGATTGTACGATTCATTGCCATTTGCTGCCATTGTTGTGGCAATGAGCCGCAAAAATGTTGTAGTAGCTGTAGCAGTAGCAGCAGACGGCCCTTTCCTGGAGTCAGTATCTGCCGTCGATTGGGGGACTAGCAAATGGGCAACAATTTGTCGTGGCAACGAGCTAGCAAGCGAACGAGCCTAGGCAAACAAATAAACTTTCGCCTGCGGTTGTCTGTGGTTGTTCACATCTTTTTATCCCTGTCTGTGTCCGTGTATATGCATGTATGTGTGGGAGCGGATGTGCTGTGAATAAATTAAAATGTCTGACTTGGAATATATTAGCTAGCATCAATTTTAAATTAAAACTGAACTACAAAGACTTGGGCGCTGCATAATTATCTAAACCAAGTCGTTGCCCTGTTGTCTATTTGCAGCTCATCGTGGAGATCAATAGCCATGTGGCGCTCTTCCGTGATATGCTGATCCATGTGGGACAAGCCAAAGACTGCCCGGAGCTGAGGGAGAAAATACGAAAGCTGCGGCGCACCTGTATTGAAGCATTCAAGCACACGGCGCAGATTCTAATGCCCCAGGTCAAGAGGTGAGTGGTGTGAAGTGTGAAGTGAAGGCAACAGCGAGTGTGACAAAAAGGACTGCCTTATTAACATAAACATAAACATGTGTGTGACATTTTACGGTTAGCTTTCTTCTTCTGGCCGACAGCAACAGTGTCAGGAACGGCAACAATGGCTGAACTAGAACAGCTTATGAAGCCCGAATATATTTGGATCTGAGTTTCCTATTTTATGGAAATGTATGCAAATTTAATTGCAGTCAAATTTATAACAAGACCCGCATTGACTGATGCCTGCAGCCATACTCAAATGGGGATAACATAAATAACAATTTGTCTCTTTCCCAGTCAAACTTAGCATGTGCTCTACACCTGAATTAAGTAAGCCCTCCTCTGAGTGAGGTTGAGGGCCTGAGTTTAAATTCAATTTCAAATTCTGCATAATTTAGTGGCATGTGTGTAGCTGAACTTTGCAGCCCGTGAAAGGAAGGCTCACCCTTCTCTAGCAGAATTTTGCACACGCTTGCAAAAAAATAGCAAATGCAGTTGGGAACCTGCTGTGCAAACAAATCAATAATGATGGCTTGATTGTGTGTCAGGTGTATCAGAATGAATGTTAAGCATTGAAAGGAAACAATTGGAACAATTAGCTGTCATGTACTATGCTTAGGTAAGACATAATATACAAATACAGAAATTCTGTATTCATCGGGTATGTATGTCGCTGTTTTTGGGTGAATGTGCTGGAGTGAGACGGTGCATCGAAACAGAAACTCCAGCTTGTCCTTCTGAGAATCTGAATAACTAATTTAGTTATTCTAGCTAAAAGAGTTTTTGAGATCCTTGCATTCATACGAACGAACAAGCGGAGGAAAAAATATCTTATCGAAATTGTCGATAGTATTGTAGTGGGGAAATCCTAAAAAGTTAATAAATTCGTATTGGGAATAAACTTGTTATGGAGATAGTTCCTTTTTTTGCACAATCCTAATCTTTGTGGTACAGGGTATAAAAATGGATAAATTATAACATATAAAAACTATTAAAAGCGACCTACTCGTAGATATTTATTTTTATTATTATCAACATTTAATTTTGTTTACCTATTTACTCCAAAAACTACAGAAGACAATTTGTAACACTGTTAATATACTTTCTACTTGCTGTTGGTCCAGCTTGCCTGCCACAGCTACTATAAGATGGTAGTGTTAGAATCTAGCTCTTTATTTAACCAGCCTCAATGGTGTCTGTCTACCAAATTCAATTTATTGATTTACGCCACAACTGAAGCATGAAATGTAACAAAATCAAATCCCATGTGCATGTGGCAGCCACAGTTGCGGCATTATCATGCTGAGTGGAAGCAACTTTTTTATTTGTGTAAGTCTTAACAATACAGATGAGAACACTGTTATGTACAATGCATGATATGTTTGTGCATTTCAATAAAACGTCAAATGCTGACATATAACTACGAATTTTTGCTGTAGAGTATGGGAGCATTTTCAGTGACATTGTCGATATTTCCAGAGGCAGTATGCAGAACTGAGCGAAGTTTTTACCACGTTACCACATTACATTTGACAATGTGATTTATTATCGTGCAGAAGCTTTAAGTGTCAGCTTGCAGCAAACACAAATGCCAATATAAGAAGATAAAAAGATGAGATATAACTACAGCATGCACATCCATACATATTTAAGTGTTGCCTCAGTGTATACAGAAGTTCTTAAAGATATAAAGAAATCAATAATAATAATAAAGAAATGAAAGAAACGCTTCACAGTGAAAATAATGATTGGCTGGCGTCAGTCATTCAGCAGTCAGTCGTCAGCAAAAATAACAATCTTGTGCAAAAGATTTCAATTAATTTTTGCTTTATTGACACAAATGAACGATTCATCGAGGCCAGCGTCATCATCAACATTAACATTGGGATTGCCATCTGAAGCCGTGCCGCACGCTGCGTATGAGTAAGGACAATGAATTAGCGCAGAAAAGCGACGAAACGCGCCCAGGCAAAAAGTTAAATTGAAAGTAAAAGTTCAATACAGCATAAGTATGCTGAACAACAAAGCCAAACAAAAAATAAATAAATAAAAAGGCAAGAGAGCAGAAAAACTTCCACTTCAAGAGCACAGCGCAAGTTGACATTGACACACACTGTACGACACATAGAACTTTGCGACAGTCTCTGTCTGTTTTTGTTGTTTGCTGCTGTTGTTGTTGTTGTTGCTGCTGTTTCTTTTTTGTTTTTTGTTTTGTAAACATGTGCTCATAAGAAACAAAAGTCAAAACAACAAACGGAAAAAAGTTTGCTTTTACTTCGAGTGCGCGCTGTATATGTACGTACAAGTATGTGTTTATGTGTGAGCTTAAGGGGATGGGGACCATAGAAGGACATATAATACGATCATATAAATTGTACATAGAACAAACAAACAACGCAAAGAATGCCTGAAAGGTGCAGCATCTGAAACGAACTTTAAAACATTGAGTAGCTTTGATGCTAAATTAGTAAATCATCAAGTTAAAAAACCGTGTACTGAGGAAAATGGTAAATGGAGTAAATGAATATGTTTTAAATTTGCAAATTAATTTGTCGTTTTTTATTTTTTTATGTATTTAATAATAATATGTTCAGTGCAATTTAAAAGAGGAGCTAGATGCTGATAGCTTAGGCTAGGCAGAAAATGATCTTAATATCTAAATCGTTAGTAAAAATTCAAGTTACAGAGTTACTTTTTCAAACTACCTTTTATATTGATATTTATTTAAATGGACAACAATTAAATATTAATCGAATTAATATAATTACAATTTAATTTATTACGAATATTTAGATATAATACTCTTTTCTCATTACACAATAATTATGTTATGAGACAAAAATTATGTTCTATTAAGCTTAAATATTAACTGTATTGTATTTGTATTTATTTAATAACATTTTATATAACTCTAATCCGTTTATAAATTCGAGGGTAAGCAAAAAAATAGAACACTTGTGAGACCAGAAACGGGTAAAATATTTTTGTGTGAACTTCATTTTAAAGTTGATATAAGAGGCTTAGCGTATTTTACGTATCACTGCATTTTGTCACGCATTCGTGTATATCTCGAGTGAATAGATAACTCAAGAATCGACATACAAATAAACCTTGGCAGCTGAAAATGCCTTCACATTCACTCACAGGGTGAACTTTGCAGCGATGGACGTTGACTACCCCAGCCATTTGGCTCGCTTGCCTTGGCAACTGACTTAAGTGACTGATAGTTGTTTGCTTGTTTGTTTGCCCAGCCATAGGTCCAGCTGTCCGAATGTCCTTCCCTTCTTTTTCCTGTTGTCTGTCTGCTGTTTGCTTGCGCTTATTTCGTACTTTCTATTTGTCTTGTATTTATCTGTACACACACACACAGACGCACACACACATAAAGAGGCACATTTGTTTGTTTGTGTTGTTGTTTGTTGTTGCTAAATTACAGGCTCTGCCTTTGTTATAGCTGCGTGTCTTGTGCGTTGTTGTGACAGTAACTTAGTCAACAGTACATATGCCTAGGGCGTATGAGCTGCTCATACATCAAGTAACGCGCCATGCACTGTCATGTTTGCTTAAACGCATTTCCTTTGCAAATAATACCCACACGCTCACACACACACACACACACACACATATGTCTAAATGTACACATGCATCCAACTTGTAATGCCAAGTTGATGCTGGCAAGCGTCCTTGGCCACTGTTACTGCAGCTGCATACATGGACCGAGCCCCGAAACAATGCAAGCAAATCAACAATTGCTCAGGAAGTGCATAACATAACAACAACAATAACAGCAGCTATAGTAGTACACGCAACGATGCTGAAAATGATGCACCGTTAGTACAACATCAACAAGCTAAGTCGCTTGAAAGACGCACCCAGCGAGAGAACAAGCCAACGTCGAAATGCAAGGCATACCCAATCTTGTACTCGATTGCTGTTTTTAAGAGTATACGCATCCAGGGACAAAACATACCAACGTCGACATGAAAGCCATATCCAATCTTGTACTCGATTGCTGCTCTTAAAAGTATACAGCAAATGCTGTGTTCCCCGTCACTTTCACAATTTTTCCACCCTCCCCCTCTACACTGCGTTCGTTGCGTTGCTGCATTGGATGGATAATAGGCCAATTATAAATGTTCAGTTCAGTAATGATAGTCTCTCTTATAATAAATGTAAAGACTAGAAAAATGACGCTATTATAAAATTAGCTACAATATACGAGTAATAATGGGACAAATGTGTAATGTAAAGAGGAATAGAAAATGGGAAAAAACCTTCATTAATAAAAACCAAAGGATAACCTCAATTGAAATAGTTATAAAAACAACTAGAAATTAAAACAACTAAAAATTTTAGCCAAGCTTGAAATATTCATTCATTTTTAATATTCATTAGTGATTAATTAATGAGCATTCGTTATTAATTTGCTTTATTTTTTAGTTCACTCGCTGAAATGCACACAACTTGAATTCCAAAAGCTTTTTCGATTTGCAAATAGATATATATATATATAATCAATTAATACAAATTTAAAACTCGGTATTTAGCCTTTAATTGCGGTCAGTAAAATGTGCAGTGCACATCTCCTACTTTTTATGTAATTATTATTCCTGCGGTTTCATTATTTCATTTTGCGAAATTTTTGCTTTCAACGCTTTCAGCTATTATTTTGACACAAGCTTGGGGGCATGACGTGAGATTTCGGAATTCAGACAATGATCAAGCAAAACAATGAAGGGGTCAACTGCAATTGGGGTGAAATGTAGTATCTATGGATGCATGGTTGTTGTGCACGCACAGAACATAGCATACTTTTGAGCGCAGTCCACTTTAGAACTTCGTGTGGCCTGCAGTTGATATGTGCTACATACTTCGATTTCGCCAGCACACAGAGCCAACAACATCAAGAGGACAACAATGATGATGCCGCAATTTTGAGCATTGCTGCTCGTGATAATAAACACGCTCTCTGACTGCCCAGCTTGGTCGCTTAATTGTACAATTTTCCCTTGAATTTCGCTTACTTTCTGCTTTTTTCCAAAAGCATTAAGTTTCATGCTTAAAGCGACAGAGGGCAAGAAATAAAATAAAATATTTTGTCGTTATTCGGAATAAATGAAAATAACGTCTAAAGTGTAATCAAGAGCAGCTGCTCGTTTTTTATCTATACACTATTCTTGTATATGTATTTATTTTTTGCTTTCTTTTTGGGTTGCCTGCCGATTTTTTTCTTTGCCTTTTACTTCTTAGTCGCTTACAATATGATGTTGATGCTTTGCTGATTTTTCGTCTATCCCATTTACCAACTCACTTAATACTCGGGTTGCGAAAATGTTCCACGTTAATGCGCGCGGCAGCGAGCAAAACATGAGAAAAAGCAACTAGAGATGACCCGAACTTATTTTATACATCAAAGATATTAACAGCTACTTGTAGAAGTGTCAACATTTTCTATTTAAAATATAAGAAGGCCTACAAATCACAAAAGTACAATAATGTTTATGCTGGCTGCAATCCAATGAGGCAATTTAATGCGCTATCCGGCCAGCTATGGCCTGTTTTATAGCCAAATATAGTGATACATTATTGATCAGAACAAAGCATGAAAATATTAAATCTTTGTTTTAATTATTAACAATTAGATTGCTTAGTGAAAATTGGTAAAGATTTGTTCGCCAGCTCAGCCCAGTCCTATTCAAAACCACATGTGGTCAGATATTTCCTCGGAGATTGTTATAAACAACGGCTTCTATAAATAAGAGGGAGAAATAACCCCGAAAAAATATGCAAAGTGTAGTTAGTTGTGCATTCAAACATGATCAATGGAAAATAATTTCTCATTGGTCTATAAAGAAGAGAGAAGTTATAATAATCAGATTGCGAAGAAAAACTACAACTCCTTACTGCTAACATCAAGCGCAAAAGCAGTACCCGGGGCATAGTTCTACTAGTGGAGCGTATAAAAGTTTAGTGGTATAATGATCATTAAATTCTTTAACCTTGAACCCATAGCCTTGCTTACAGTAGTAGAGATGTGAAGGTTGAACGTTAATTTGGAATAAAAAGTCTTTGATTATCCAAAAACAGTGCATTTTCCACCCTATATTTGAAGTGGCTCCCAGAGGTTTCACTTAACATGTAATTTACCGATTCCCTATGACACCATGTTGAGGAGGAGATAAGCCAGAATAAATTCGAAAAATTTGAATGTGCTAGACAGTCCCATGAGTGTAAACGACTTGATAGTACATACTAAGCACTTGACATAATTATATTCCACCATCAAAAATGTTGCTTCCTTTAACGAATTATATGTGTGTTTTGAATGCAAACCACTAGAAATTTGACACTCAAATATACGGACACATACCAAATATATACTATAAATAGTGGCAAAGCTCTCTCGCTTCTTCCCTTCTATCTAATAATCAACATTGGCAGATTAACTGCTTAAGCAACATCCAAATCGCTCGCTCTGAGCAAAGTAAAGCAAGGTAAGCAATACAGTACACACAAATGCTCGTATACAGGTGTACACACTTACACACCTTAAGCAAGATTAATTTGCAATTTATTTGCTTTAATGGTGGTACGAATGGGCGTTGGATACAAGGCAACACTTTCATCGCCCTCTACCTCACTGGCTGCCAGTGGGTCTGTGTGTTGTGTCGGTTGGACAAGTTGTTAATTTAGCCAGAATATTTCTCATTTCCATCCCTGCAATTGTAGGAAAAGCTATTGCTACTCGTGACCATCGTTGTCGCCCCGCTCAAGCCATGCAGTAAATCCAAAGCAATTTTACAAATTGAATTTATTTTCATGCTGCTGAAAATATGTTTATGGCAATTTTTATGTAGGTAAAGGCTCATATTTTTGGTCGTTAGCATTTCTATTTCTTTAATTGCTATATCTCTGGCATCGCACCGGCTTATCTATTATAAATGTGAGTCTCGGAGCTAAGCACAACTTTTAAGTGCAGCTGTAAATTTGAGAAATTGAATTATGTGCTGTAAGGCAATTTAATTTGCACAGTGTCCTTAGCTGTGGACCCTGAAACTTTTAAAATGAATAAGTTTTTAGTGCAGATACTTTATGTTTCGAAATTCGATGCCAACATTTCTCATTAGCAAAACAGTAAAAGCCTTATATCCTTATGTATTAGATTTGTAATAGAACTCAATAAATCAGTTGCGCGCTTATGAGCGTGGTAAGATAATATTAACCAGAAACGCTAATAATGCATTTGCTTTTACCCACTTTTTTTAAATAAGTATACCGAAATGGACACAGTAATATACATTAGGGGTTCTGCTAGGGGTTCTGTGTTAGTTTACACTATAAGGTTATTGTTACCAGTAGGAAAAGCTCGAGCTTATTTATAAAACTTATATTCAATTTGGTGTATCAGGCGTTTTGAGTGTGTAGTTTGCAGAGAAAGTTATTAGGCGAATAGATTTGGATGCGCATTTAGTTTATCAATATATTTGCATTCAATTTCATTTCATTCTGGATAACTAAACATTATCTGTTAATGCAGTGTGCAGAGCATATACAATATCACATCTCGTATTAGAACATTGCGAAAATGCTGACAAAAAATAAAAGTTATTCTGAATATCGTCGATAAAATTGTATTCCATGCGTAGATTATGGGAAGAAAATATTCAACGTTCTCATTTTGCATGCATTTTAAAGAGTTTGAATTAAATGCAGAGAGTTTTAAGCAATATATTACTTTGTTTAAATTTGAACAAGTGGTCGAGCTCTAATAGAAATTGTGGCTACTCTGCCTTTTGTATAATTTATATATTATATTTGTAACATTTTGTTTGAAGCAAACATGTATCCAAAAGATGTTAGGCCGGTGTTAATATACAAATACTATTTTAAATTCACATTTTAATTATAAATATTAAATATTAAGCATCTAAGTTCTTCAATAATACACTTAGTTTATTGCACCTACATTTCCTTAATTCCTATTTTATGTTTTTCTATATTTCCATATGTTTAATATATTTCTAGTACAAATAAATTGTTTAGAGCGCAAAAGTCTTTCCCATGGGAATTTACGCTTTTAGCCTGCGTGACTCTTTCACAAAACTGCATTAGTCTTAAATAACATGCAGTAAGCACAAGAGCCTCAACCATGAACCTAACTTCAATAGCGAGGAATTTTCAGTGCACTCAGAAACTTTCTTAAATGAATTAGACTGCGGCAGTCAGTGTTGACCCTCAGAAAATGTCATAAAATTCATATAAATTGAGTTTACAATTTCCGTTTACAGTTCAGTATGCCACAAAAGTAGCCCACATATCGAAGAGGACACGTGCTTACCTACAGACACATGCTTACATTCGTATATACCAAATATACATACATGTGCTAAAATGCTTTGTTTTCTTTGTCTTGCAGCGCCATGGCCGATGGCATTCTCACCGACAACCCGCATCTGGTGCTGCTCTTTTATATGGCGCAGCTATTTCTACGTGAACTTGTGAAAAGTTATCGTCTCATTCAAGTCGTGCCAATGGATATGTCTGGCTATTATGGTAAGTTCTAATTCAGCACACTCTAAAGGGCAAGGGTGGAGAAAAGGCACAAGCGCAGGGCCAGAGCTATGCAACAACCGGGTCTGAACTTATTTGGCAATACGCTGGCAAGCAATTCGAAAATTGCTGTTGCCAACAAAATTTAAAGTAATAAAAGAAATCAGAATAGCTGCGATATGTTACTAGAAATTGTAACATTGGGTTTCATCTTAGCATTGTGTGGCTGTATTTCTTCAAAAACATTTTATAGTTTCATGGCTTAATATCGGAAAACAAAACAAAAATTACTTGTAAATTTGGAATTAAAAAGTGTTTCAGACATAACGAGTTAAAATCTTATTAAATAATATATTATATGTATGTATCTTTTTTTCCTTGATAAAATTTTTTTAAAAATGTATAGTTTTTTTACGAATTATATTTTACACTTTAAACCAGATTAATTTTATCATTTATTTATTTCGTAAATTTTAAATCAAATAAATGTACATGACTCAATATACATATTGCGTAACAGTTTGTCCAATAAATCTTTGAGTATAGTTTACATTTAGGGTTCTCGTATTTAAGTTTTATAAATATCCTATTTAAAGGAAATAAGTGAGCTGAAGTAATATATGATATTACAGATAAGAGTTTAACAAAACATAAAAAAGCTATCACCTCTACGTTTTGGGTTTCAATACATATACCAAATACTTTATTTATCAAGCGCAGTAGTCCATGGTTCATGGAGACTTTAAAAATTTGTTTTAGTCAAATAATATTATTTTTCTTGGCACCACTTTCTCTTTGTATTGTTTATACGAATATAGAAATCTTTAATATAAGAACCTTTATAAGCTTGCTACAATTATGTAAATATTTGAGTTTCTATACTAAGGATAAAGCCCAATTGTGATAAGTATAATATTCTGAAATGAATAATATTCAAAAAATCAGGTTACGGTTCGTATTTATTGTCATATCGGAATCACAGTCATTTTTTTCTAATCACTAATTGGGCAATTTCAATTGAGCTGTAACCCATAGTACACACCACGTACTATACACACAAGTGCTCACTCGTTTCATACAAGCACACACACACACACACCCAGCTTGTTTACCAATTGTTTGCATTTTAGCGCACCATTGCATTTCCGTTCGTTTCCGTTCTAACTTGTCTGTATGCGCTCGCTCTGATTTCCATTCTCCTGTCGAGTTTAATGTGCTCGCGTGCGTGCATAGAGTTAACCAATAAATTTGCTTAGCTTATGCAGAGCTCCAATGATTTGTCGCGTCTTCCGTGCATGTCAATTACATTACGGTTGAGAGACTGCATGGCATCATCGTTGGTGGTGACAGCAAAACACAACAAATGTCAACTGGCGATCATACATTTTTTAATTACCACCACAGCTAAAAATGTTTCATGCATTGTCAACAGTAAAGAGTAGGCCAAATATTTGAACGACACGGTTGCTGGGGCAGTGCAGCGTGTGGACTTCAAGCCCAGTTGGTTGAGGCAAATTTATGCTGCAATGCCATAAAAAAGCCATCAACGCAAAATAAATAAGAAGAGTATGGAAAAAAATAGTGGCAAATAAAAACGCTGTTTCTTTTTTATTTTCAATTATACATACAAGCAAAATAATGCAACATGAATGAATGTGTCAGGCCGCACCAGTTTTACGTGGCTTAAAGGCCTGTTGTGAAGAACGCAATCGGCAGGATATGTAATAAAAATGGCGATGCCAGCAAAATTGCCGCGTTTATAAATCAAAAATGGAAACGATGCTCATGTATGTAAAATATTGTGTATACGCCAGGGGGCGACATTCATATAAAATGCACGTGCGGTAAACAAAGTTGATATTGATTGAAAATGAATGTCGTTTGCACTAGTTTGCAACTTGAATATTCTCTACTATAGCTAATTTTAAATCTGATGAAGCAAAATTCTGCCAGTATTCACAACGAGATCACCTATTGTATAGCCTCTATACCACTCCTAGTCTGGTTATTCCAGCTCCTATACTTCCTGAGATTCTTGCGTTCGTAAGACGGATAGACCAACAGACAGACAACATGGTAAGAATCTTCTTCCATTTTTAGAAGACCCAGAGACTCCGGCGTTCTTAATCACAAAGTGTAGTATAACTTATTTGAGACAAAGTAATAAATAAAAATAATTATTTTTGCTAAAATAAGAACGTTTATAAGTAAGTAGAACTGCTGAAAGGAGAGAAATTGTTCATATTTAACAAATTAAGTAAATTCATATAGAGCTGGTAACAGCTCTTAATTAATCCGATTGCTGATAACATTCAGCACCTTAGTGGCCCCAAACCAAAAGAAGGATATTTTTCATTAGGCTAACAAACTATGATTGTATGTTCTGGGGACATGTTGCGACCAAAGTGGTCAGCATAAACATTAATTATCTCACGGGCAAAAGCAGTTAGTATGTAAACGATAATATCCCAAATGTTAAATTGTACCAAATTAAAGCTCCAGTTTCTGTTTATCCAGACATTTGATTCGACATCAGTCAGCTAGTCATTCAACCAATATTTTAGTCAGCCGAGCAAACATCAAAGCGTGCCACTGTTTCGTTTCCTTTGCTCGGTATAATATAAACTTCAGCATAAAGAGAAAAAAGCTAAGCGAAGACCAAAGCTAATGAAGCTCGAAAAAAATGCAAATACTAAGCAAAATGTTTGCGCACAAACACAATAAATGGCAATGGAACAAATTTTGTTTATTGCATTACACAAATCCAAAACAAGAAAATTGCTCGCATTGGGGGCTCTTGGCTTAGCCGGCTTTGCGCTGTGGCCAAAAATGAGAATGTGAATGTAATGCAGCAGACAGCCACAGAGTTGGCCGCAACAACATCTGCAGCTGCATTGCCACAACTTGGCTTATGACTGGCTACTTATGGGTCGGCTTTGACTTTTACCAGCTTATCACTTAACTTTGATTTATGCTTTTGTGCAATGTGCTTGCTTTCTTGCAGAGAACCGAGCTGGTCCCTCCAATCTGGGCAACGTTATAAGCCAAATACTGCTGTGCAAACAAATTACGCCCGACTTCAATGAGGAGGAATTATGCAGCATTACGAAAGACTCGCAAGACATAGCCATGCTGCTCTCCGAGATGCAGGAGTATATGCCACAACATGAAGCATATTTGGGTAAGTTTGCAGCTGCAGTTTGCAAATACCCAAATATCAAAGGCCAAGGCCTGCCTATGACATTTGGCTGCAGGGCCACACCCATATAGCGCGCCCAAGTGTGTGTGGAGGGTGCCACAACATTTTACCCGAAATGGCAAAAACCGTCCGGGCTATTTGTGTAAATGTGGCCTGTGTTTATGTGTTTGTATTTCACTCACACAGTGCTGGCTGCATTCATTAATCAAACCGACTGTTTACAAAGTGTGCGCTACTCTTTCATTTATATTTTTCTTCCCTTTGTTAACAGAACGCAACGCTGCTCTGGATACGAATGGACCCTGGCCGGCCAAGCGACGTCAGAATTATATATGCAAGAACATGAGCTTGCTCTGTTGTGTCTCCAGGCCCAATTATCTCTGAGAGCAGGCTGAAAATGTTTAGTGGAAGACAACGCACACTAAACAATCTGAAATCAACTCGAATATGGCCACACACACAGACTCATACTCATACTACTTATATCAATTACTAGCGCCTAAGACCTACATAAAAACAAATCTCAATCAGTTCGCTACTTAAATCCACGTCTCGACTCAAATGCTATGTAAATTTTCGAAGCCATTGAAATATTATGTGTATATGTAATTAAAGTTAATTATGCTACATAAACAATACTCGTTTCCATATCTACTGTAAATTGTTGTTAGGCCTACAAAGGACCAGAAAAATTGACACAAATATTTAACTATTGTTGTTATAAATATATGTAATTAAATATAGTAGATAACACACTCACTTTTCTGCATTTACAATTTTAGGCTCTCACCAGCGTGTATAAAAGTCAGAATTCGTTTTGTGAACTTTTCCCACTAAACAATCATTGAACTAGTATACCCTTTTACCCTTCGGGTACAGGATATAAAAATACAAAATAAATAATTGTATAGTTACTGTTGAGTTAACATTAAAGTTAGGAGAGTAAAGCGCATATATAAGAGATAAAAGGTAGACAGATATAGTTTTATGATCAGCCTAGAAACATTTTGGAACAAAAGCAATACAAATTTATATGATCGCATGTGTTATGTTTGGACAAACCCTTTCGTAGACCCAGCTTTAGGCTTTATTTACGCAATCCTTAAACAGTACCCAGTAAAGAGCAACACGTGAACCATGAAGAATATAAATAACAATTGCGTTATGCATATAATCACTGAACTGTGCGCCCTGTACGCCAATTCCACAACTACATATTTATGCTGTGGAACACACATTCCGACTTACAGTTTTGTAAATCAAAGTCGCACACACAAATATACACACAATATACAAATATATGTGTATTCACAGCTAATTTCCATGTGCTGTGCGTGGCAATTAAAACAGCAAGGCAGGCAGCCAGTCAGGCAGCCAGCCACACAGCTGCAAGCCCATTTGAGTTGCAAGGCCAAATTAATAATCATGCATTATGCTTTTAGGCGCACTTTAATTGCATTGCAAATGCTCACAAATTAGTACTACATATAGAATCGTGTCATATACGAATGCATATTGTTTATACACATTTAGTAAAAATATGTAGCATGCGATAGTGTGTGGCAGTAAAGGCTTTTACACTTTTTGACCAAAAGGCGTTTTGTGTTCCAGAATCCATTTTATTTGCATTTAAAATTATGCGTTTTTTTTAAATTGGTACTGGTATTTAAGTAAAAATCAATTATCATATTTCAGAAAAGTACTGCTGCGAAATATCGCAAGCGACATCAAATTCAATATATTTTAACGTAAAAATCATGTAAATAATATTTTATGATATTGGTTAAATTTGTTTTCAACTTAACAAAAGAATTCATTTTAAAGTGCAAATTTCTGGTATTTTCGTTCATTGGTATGCCAAGCCATTAATTCATAGACTGGGAAATGTAATATACATATGTATTCGGATCGTTTAAGTTTTATAATGTTACGAGGAAATAATTTTTTTCCCTGTATAATTTAAATAAAATGTGGACCTGCGAAATACCACCAACAATTGATATGTTTTGTGTTATTAAAATAAGAGCTTATTAATATTTTAATAAATCACAAATCGATAAATTTATGATAAAAAATTCAAACAGAATAACACAAAAACTTCACAAATCCTGAAAATTAAATTTTGTATGCCTAGCAAAAACACTTCTTTTATTATCATTTACAATGAAAAGGACTAAGAAGGTTAAATATCGCTGATATTTGAATTCAATACATTTTTAATTTAAAGCCGCACTATTGCACAGCAAATTTAATTTCTTTATCCGCACACAATTTATTGAATAATTCATAGCAACATTTTTAATGCATGTAAACAATTGTTTAAAAACTTTCTGTAGCGCAAAAGTAACAAATGAGAAATTTGAACTTTTGTTGGGAAACTAAAACACGAGCACAATAGACCACCAGGCACCCCAATTATTTGCACAAAAGAACAAAAGAATTAAACGAACATAAAACGCAACACAAACTTTTCTTCAATAGGACTTTGAATAAAAAATGTTAGCCTGATTTGAATTTTCAACTTAAATAAGAGGCTGTTTTACATGTTTGTTAGTTTTGTTTTTGTTAGACGAAGAAATTCAATTATAAGCATAAATCAAACACCAATATGTATACATCAATAAAAATTAAAATAATAATAAAAAGAATGTAGCAAGTTCATAATAATGCAAGTTATATTTATATATATGTAGTATATACATATGCTTCGTAACTATAAGCACACTAAACATTGTTTTATTATTATGTATAACACTGATGAGAAATCTATAAAAACAAATACAAAAAAAAAAAAAGAAAAAAAAAGAATTAGACAAAGCAAACACGTGATTGTTATATGATATTCATATGAGAATTGTGTAGCGTATTTATTAAATCTTTGTTCATGTTATTCCCAACTAAAAGCAACAAAAAAAAAAAAAACAAACAAAAAAATATACTGCATGTATTCAACATAATAACGAGCAAGACAAAACCAAAATAACAAATACAAACTGGGGTACCAATCAAATATAAATAAAGCTATTTTTAGAGAAACAAAAGCGTACGCTACATGTATTACTTTTTCATTGATCCCGGTCTTTAATGTTTTCGAAATGTGCAATGCGGGACACCCAGCCTGCTGCTCCTGGCCGCTCGATAAGGAGGCACGCGTATGGGCAAAATTTATGACACTTCATAAAACTGAGCGATTAACGTTTATGGATGTGATTTTATCACGAAAACAGCTTAGAGCCTTGCCTGAAAAAGGTGAAATCCAAAACGCAGGAAACGTGCCGTGCAGCATTTAAGGCAGAACCCCACGTACTTGACAATAGATGCGTCTTAATCAATCTCAAAGTGTGGCATGTGGCAAGTGGCAAGTGGCGACTGGCAGGTGGTGAATTGGGGGACACCGAGGCTGCCTGGCAACGCCATTAAATGTAAGGCAGACAACTTGTTTATGTTAAACGCACGTCTGCAAGGGAAAAATTTTCAGTCAGTAGCTGGTAAGCCATTTTCAGCTAAAGCTTAAAAGTTGCAGCAAAGTCTCAGCTTAGGCGCTGTCAGTGCCAATTGCATGGTCACGTAGATTAGACGTGTTGGCAGCATTAAAGACTAAATATAAATTACTTTTTTAAGTTTCCAAGCCAAGCATATGCTTAGACAACGGCACAAGTTCATCTCAAGGCGCAACGAGCCCAATCGATTGATCGAGCGCGACGCGAAGATACGCAATGAGACACCTATGCCCAAGCTCGGGGAGTACGCGTCCTTCTACAGAAATTGTTCCTTTACCACGCACTCGCAAAATACAAGTATGATCAGGGGAGTTTTGGACCTGCATATTACGTACATTTCCCCCGAACTAGGTAAATATCATCAATCACACCTGCAAGAATAGTCCATTTTAAAAAGTGTTATGTGCGGCACAGAATTTGTTCAATATATTTCAAAAGAACGGGCTTAGGGGTTTTTATTAGGTATTTCAGTATATTGTCATAAAAAAGTTAATTTTCAAATGGTTTTAACTAGGTATTTGTATTCTGTCATTGTATATTGTCGTTCTTTTTACAAATTAAAAAGATATTTCTTTAAGTATTCTCATATTATTATAGCTAGGTATATTATAGTGTTTCCTTGGCAGGCACCGACTTCAAAAATAACAATAATACTATACGCAATTATTTGTTTACTTTTTAGTGCATATTAATTTGTAATAGAATTGTTGAAAACTTCCTTTTTTGTTAAAATTGTTTATTTTTTGCTTTTTAGTGAATCTGAAGTAAACTAACTAATGTATCTGAATATGGGTATACCTACCAAAAGTGCTGCTCATATGAGATAACGCCGTTTAAATGAAACAAACGAAGTCAGAGAAGAATGTCTATTTCAACAGAGGAGTCTCCAGAACCTTTCATGTTCTAAAGAAGTCGTCGTGGATGTGCACAGTAATTAATGTCTGGTCGAACGCAAGGCGAATGTTAATGCACTACTGGTGATTGATTGCGATTATTGTTGCAGTTTGTTCTTCTGAGCTCTTCTTCTTCTGGAGTCGTGTATTTTTGCTACACGCATTGTTACGGTTATTTCACATGATAACTCATTTAAATTTGACACTCATCTACTGGGTGTCTTCGCATTATATCCGAACCCATGAACATTTTGTATGATTTAAGAATTATATGCATCTCACGGATGTCATTGTCGAATCTGTACCAAATGGGGCCACACGGGAAGCACCAGCTTTCAAATGATAAAAAACGGTTCACCCAGTCGAGTGTACTGAGGTAACAAACATAAACAAATACAGACTAATTCTTAACCTCCTCCTTTTTTGAAACCGGTTAAAAAGAATTAAATTTGGTCCAATTTAATTGAGAAACAGGTGTTTTTTAGGTAGCCTAGCAATAAGTGATTCTTCTTTTTGGCGTAATCCGTTTCAGTAGAAACATACTGAAATATTGATACGACTTAAAGGCTAATTTGTAAAGGAACAAAACAACAACTTTCCTACGGTTTGTTAATTATGGAAGGTAAATAAGCAATAGTCTGCTAGAGTAGGGTGCTAAACAAATATTCGGATTCCTTTTTGAACCAAGAGGAGTTTAATATTCCTTCAAAATGTCAGCATTAAATATATTTTAGGATTAGCCTAATCAGTTTCGAATAAGTAATGTTTTACTTTCATTATCCTTGAATACGTTTCACTTTATTTTGCACGAAGAAAGTTGATGTTGTCGATAAATACGTGGGTTCTCATTTCAATTAATAATTTAGTAATACATTTTTCTCTGAGTGCTCGGGACCCCTTTGCGCCATTTACCCAAAATCCAAAGGCGAGGCCTGCATGACAGCATACTCGTACGCGCCCGAGGATGCTTATGTGAAGTGTTAATAGATTTACCTGGGACTGCGGCTTGTGCCGCTCTGACTTTGAATAATGGCAATGTAAATATATTTGAATGCCAAAACAATGTGGCACGCAACCGACAAACAATTACAACTTTTTTAAAAGCAGACGGCCACGCACTGCCGCTCATTATGCCCATAAAATAAGTATATAAAGAGGAGAACCGAAATTTGCATTGCAAAAATAAGCAACAAGAAGAGGATTGGGGCCCCCAGTCGAAATTTGCGAAAGCCAACGGAAGTTGACATTATTTACTGAAGAGAGAGAAGGACGAGGACACAGACGCGGTCGCGCTCTAAACAACGATGCTCCACTTGCACAAATATCTGCTTATATACATATTTACATACATAGGACGAATGTTTGAATGTAAATGAGAGTGGCTGCAGTCTTACATCTGTATAAGGAAGATTTGTTAGATTAGCGATATCTGAATAATGGAGGCACAAAAAATATAGAACAACTTTTGAAAATCAACAAAAAATTAATAAAAAAAGTAAAGGCAAGTAAAGTTCAATTTTGTTCACCCAACATAAACCTTCAAGTTTTAAAATACCTGTGGAAAATTCATATTTCAAATCGAATACCATTTGATAAATCCAACTTCTGTTTTATTACTTTAACAATTTCTGTTTTTGTGAGTGTGTGGAAGGTATTAAAGCTTGCTCCCGCTAAACATTTCAATTCGATTGCTGTTATATCTTAGATAAGTGCCATATTTAATACACTTCAGCTTAGAATAAAGTCCAAATAAATAACAGTATATTAATCGCTCAACTAATACATAAAGTGATTCTTTAAGTTTAAGCTCCCACTTTTATTTTCTTTAATTTAAATTTCCACTGTACCCATGGCTTTTATATACACACTCGTATATACATTTATAAAAATATACTTATGTTGATGTGCCGCAAACAAGTTGTTGGTTCAAACGAACTCACTTGCCAGATGTGTTTGTGTGTGTGTTTCTGGGCAAACCAAAATAAATGCCAACAAGGATAATTCCCGGGTAATCCGATTTAGTGCGTTGCCAGGCGCCCCCGCCACCGCTGCCGCTGCCGGTGCCGATGCTGCCACGCACACAAAACTCGCTTGATTATGTGCGTCCGTTGCCTCTGAATGTCCTGGGCAGCACTCAAGTGCCTAGCCAGAGTTCCCTGATCGCCTCACTACACCGTGTTGCTCTTTGTATCTTTGTGTATGTGTGCGATTGTGTCTTTCTGTTCTTTCACATAAATTCTTGACTTTTTAATTTCGTTTGCTGTCCGTCTGTCCGTTTGTCTGTCTGTCTTTCTGCTGGTCCTATTCTCCTTCTTGACTGGACAATGCTGCTGCTTGGCCTTTGTTTTGTATTTCGGTACTTTCTGTTTGGGATGTTTAAAAATTAAAAACATAATTTTTATGCTCGTTTCGTTGCTTTGGTCTTTCTCATTTTTTACATAATTAAATAATGACAATTCGGCAGGTCACGCTTGGCTGCTTGCTCTCCAACTAGGTATTTTGTCCTTTGCTGAGTAATTGAGTGCATGCTATTTCTGAGCATTGTCCTCCTGGCTTTTGTGACTCCATGAGTATTTTGTACATATATAAGTGTGGTTGCCGTTCGTTTTTTTTTTTTGTTTTGGCCCAATGTAATCTTAAGACAAGTGCCGAGGCTATTGTACAAATAATCACAGCACAAATCTGCAGCAGACGGCTACAATTGCGCAGCATGTGCCATAAAAAGGCACTTTGCTTGTAAAAAACAAACAGTAGCGTTAAATTAAATCAAATGAAAGCGAGCGCTGAACTTTTGGTCTCTTAATGTCCGTCTACTAACATATTCTGCTTTTCTCTGTTAGTCATTTCTACTTTAGTCATGGGCATAACATCAAGTTGGAGTACATTCATCTCCCTAAAAGCCGTTGTCTACCATTGCAAACAATATACTATGCATATAATTTATTGTATTACTGACCAGTCAACTATGAAAGCCCTTAACTATTTACACAGCTTTCGTTTTTTATTTTAAAACTCTAGCGCGACTGTTAAATGTATTTCATAGCAAATACTTAAAAAATAATCTTGTTTGCACTTTATTTATTAAGTTGTAAGTTACTTTCAAGAACTTAGTTGGCTATTTTTGTCAAAGAATAAAAAAATACGTAAAATTGTAGTGGCACTTATTTGTATAAGTGATAGTAAATTGTTTACCTTTCTTATTCATATTCAGCATCGCATTATTAAAAGTTCATATTTTACTTTTTATTTAAATAGATACATTTTACCTATATAGACAAATCATCGCAATAAAATGTTGAGAATACTTGTACTATTTGAGCAATTGAGGTATATATTTAGTTTAGTAACTATTTTAATTAAAGAGAGTTATTGCAATTTTGAAAGTCAATGTTTGCTTTTTTCACATTATTGTTTAGCGGCATCAGCTGATAAGGCCTCAAAAAATGTTCAAAGCTTCCGTTGGCGTCAAATATCACATAAAGTGTTCCATTTTTTGTGCCATCATCAAAGTCTCTCATTCTCAATCCCGCCGGTGTGCGTGGCGTCTGCGTAATGAAATACATTCTAATGAACTCTAACACACGCTGCACACGTTTGGCGATAAGCAATCTTTAGTAGCATTGATTAAAAAAGCTTTTAATGCCATTAATTAAATCCAGGCGCACGCACCCAACCACTCACCGCTTATCCACTCGCACAGGTGCTCAGCTTAAAAGGTGGTACTTGAAAGTACATGCTTTTTGTAGCATACTTTCGAGCGTACCATTAAAACTGTTTCCGAGCAAGCAAAAGCAAACATTTCGCATTGTTCAATGCCATAAGGAGGACTAAAGTTTTAGTTTTCGACTAAATGCACAAAGCACATTCTGATGCACTAAGATGGTTAAAAAGAGGGCGGCTGGGGGGATAAGTGGATTAGATTCAACTTCAAGTGTTACAAATACATGCGTGTTGCATGCAACCCGCTCTATAATTCAATTGTGAGGTGGCGTGCAGCACACACGTGCTATAACGTGCTAAAAATTTCGAATAGCAAATTTCTGCCTGCAACGACGACGAAAGTGGCAAAAGAAAAGGCGCCTACAAAGCACAACAAATGCCGGCGGATGAGCAATTGGCTAAGATGGCTGCATGGCTCTTTCACTTAGAATAAGAAATTAACAACATTTTCGTGCAGCTCCGAATCTAACATCTACCTAACGGCACAAGCTCGTACAAATGTCAATTACACACAACCACAAACATAGAGAAATAACATTTCGATAACGTGGCCTAATTTGGCTCAGTGCTTCTTATTTTTTTGTAATACCGGCGCTTTATGGCCAACATAATTATGGCAATTTTAATTAAACGAGCTGGGAGATACATCGGAATATATTTATGTCGGTGTATAAATATATACATATACCCAAGTTCAAGGTAGTCATAAAACTACTTCCTTTCCCGTTTAAAGAAAGTGTACCTTTCGTTCATATCCATACGTCGATAGATGGCGTTTCTAAAATTATTGCTCATTACATAGTCCAGCTTAAAAGCTACCATAATGGACATATGATATGTAAAAGCTTTTCACTGTGAGCACTTTCAATTGTATGAAAAAAGCTTTTTAAAAACCGGATTAAAAAATCCCGAGTTTCTTTGTTTATAGGCAGTGGCCACGCTTTGTAATTTGTCCTTTGTGAATCCAAAACATTTTTGATTAGACATAGCTTAAGCAAATTAGTAGATATTTATATACAATCTGGTCGCCTTCAGACGCCTTCATTCATATGACGCAATATTTCGTTGGAAATGGAATGGATTTGTTAGAATTTTTCTGTTGATCACATGCACAATTTATTATTTTAACGCATCTTGCATTAATAAATCAAAATTAAAATTTTATTTTTTCTTTATTGAAAATGTTAAAGTCACATTGATGAAGAAGGGTCTGAAAATATTAATTTGTTCACCAAACAGAACAACTCTAATGCAACCTCTAGACCAAGGCATTATTCACTCATTTAAATTAAAGTATAGACGCATATTGGTGAAACAACAACTAGTCGCAACAAATCTTTTAGTTTTGGACGACAAATTACAGACTATTTCTAAACAATTTGATATATATATGTTAAAAAATGTGTATATATAATGTGTGACCAACAACATAATACAACTTCATATTTTGCTTATCTAAAAAATAAAGTTATGATAGCTGCGTTTTTAGTACAGCTGCCTCAAAAGTAAGTGCTAAGTATTGGATGCAGCAAAGCAAATTATACTGTAATATAAGTACATATGCCAAGTCAATGGCTTGTTCCATTTCCACGTTGCGTCGCACATGATATCTGCCGCTGTTATCTTAATGCCAAACAGCTGATATTTGCTAGCAGCACTGGTTTTGAGGGCTGCCACATTGTTTTTTTAACAGCTGTAGCGCGACCCATAAATGTTATAGATTTCACCAATTGTTATTGAGATCATTGGTATTATTGTTTTAATGTGTGGGTCGAAAGACATTATGGAGAACTTGGACAGTCCCATTGATATAGTGACCTACGTCACAGAGGAGTTGCAGAAAAACTATCGTAGCAGTTCCGATAAAGTGAAAGTGTTTCAAGATTTTTTCAAGCACTGGGAAGTGGACACATCGATTGCCAAAGTAAAGGCAACCAGCTATGAATTCGAGTCGGATTTGGATTGGTTCAATGTCAGCCGGCCACTTTCACTGGCGGGTCTTCGGGGAAAAATCGTTGTGCTTGATTTCTTCACCTACTGCTGTATCAATTGCATGCACGTTCTGCCGGAGCTGAAGGCGTTGGAACAGAGATACCCAGTTGAGTCCGGACTTGTGGTGGTTGGCGTGCACAGTCCGAAGTTCGAGAACGAGCGCGATACGGGAAATATTCTGTCAGCCTCACTGCGCTATGGAATTACACATCCCATTTTAAACGACTATCGTTCCAAGCTTTGGAGAGCTATTGGCATACGGTGTTGGCCGTCTATGTTGGTACTGAGTCCGAACGGGAATCCTATGCTTTTGCTTATGGGTGAGGGACACCAAAAATTTCTGCAAGAGTTCATCGGCGTTGCGCTGGCTCATTTTGATAGAAAACAGAAAATTGACCATTGCAGCTTACCCCTACAAATTTCTTCTGATCTGCGACCGGCCTCGAATTTGCGATTTCCTTCTAAGATTGCGCGCAGCCCGCAGGGTCGATACGCCGTTGCCGACGCTGGTAACAATCGCGTGGTTGTCTTCAGTGATTGTGGTGTGGTAGAGCATAAAATAGGAGGTGCTGAGGCCGGATTTGTTGATGGAAATGTGCAAGTTGCCCGCTTTAACAATCCACAGGGAGTGGCATTCCTTGACGAGCACACTTTAGTTGTTGCCGACACTGAAAACCACGCTCTGCGAAAGATTTCGCTAAAAGATTCATTGGTAGAAACACTGGCAGGAACTGGACTTCAGGGTCATGAACGCACTGGGGGTCGTATAGGACCATTACAAAGCTTATCGTCACCTTGGGATGTGGCTGTATATAGGAAACGGGATATGGACATGTCCTTCCACCTTGACGAGCATAATGTACCTGAGAAAACTATAATACTGGTCGCAATGGCCGGCACTCATCAAATCTGGGGATACTTTCCAGAGGGCATTATCTGGTGGAAGTTCCGCAAGTTTGAGCCACGATGCTGTGTATCATTGATTGGAAACGGACTTGAAGAGAATCGTAACAACTCCTATCCACAAAATGCAGCGTTTGCGCAGCCATCAGGTCTTACCATTGCAGAGGATTATCTCTTCATAGCAGACAGTGAGAGCTCCAGCATTCGAAAAGCATCCATGGTGGACGGTAAAGTAATGCCGGTAGTTGGAGGTGATCGCAATCCTCAGGTAAATGTAATATGCAATTATAACTACTGTACAAATAATTATTCTCTTCCTTTGTGGTTCACAGAATCTTTTTGCGTTTGGTGATGTGGATGGCAAACTGTTTAACGCAAAGCTACAGCATCCACTTGGTGTTGCTTATAATAACGCCGATAAAGTGTATGTTGCCGACACGTACAATCACAAAATCAAGGTCATCGACATATCGACAAATACGGTTTCAACTTTGGTTATAAAGAATGAAAAAGGAGAAATAGTATCATTCAAAGAGCCAGCTGGTCTTTGTACCGACTCCAGTGGACGGCAATTGCTAGTTTCTGACACCAATAACCACCAAATTATTTTGGTAAACCTGGACACTTTGACAGCGCGTAATTTTGCATTAGATTTTGGCACAATGGGGTCCATTACAGAGACGGACGCGTTTAGCAGTTCAATAAATAAGAACGAGCAGCTGCAGAAGTCGGTTCCATTGTCACTTGAAAAAAGCACTAAAATAGGCTTCTCAGTCAAATTGCTAACAGACTTGAAATTCACTGAGGAAGCTCCACAAAAATGGACACTGAAAAGTCTAAGCCCCCATCTGGAAGTTGAACCAGCAGCTGGTGTTCTTATTAATGGACAATTCAGCATCAAAGTTGTGCCTTCAGAAAATATTGCAGGATCCGATTCAAAAGCCCGGGAAACTGACAGTGACTTGCTTATCGAAATCGTATTAAATCTGTGCGATACCAAATGCTGCCTTATGAAGCGTTTTTCAGTTGCTCTACTTAGGGAAAACAATGGCGACGAAAAGGCGGCTGAAACTCCACAGCACGTTGATATTAAGATAATTATAGATCACGCAAAAATAAGTTTGGATTAATGGCATTAAGCTTTTGCGGCATTGAGTATCTATTTATTGTATGTAATTGAAATACATAATTTATTTGAAATTTTATAAAAAAAAAACATGTTACAGAATCATCTTAACAATTCAATTCTTCATGGTGCTAATGTTGCTTTTTTTAGAGATATATATAAAAATATTTATGTTAAATTTGTACAAGCTGATTGATTAACTAATACTTTTAGAAAGCAGATAGTTCTAATGGGTCTCCCGATGTTTGCATATTTTATCTGTTTGTTCTGTCTTTCCGGCTACCTTGCATACTTCCGAAAGTAAATCCTTCAGAATGGAAGCTTGGCGGCCAGTGCCATTAAGAGTGACCGTAGGAATGAAGCTGACTGGGGGGCGAAGCGCATGAGTCGCATCTCCGTGAAGTTTCAGCAACTCAGCGCCATGGGTGCTATCGAAGCACTTCTGAATGAGATCAATATTCTCAATATTGTACTGCTTTACGCACTATAAGTGTAAATACTTGTATATACATCTTTGTTGGATTAGTTTACAGAAGTCCCGCCTTACCTTGTGCATTGCATCTTTAGGTATATGATTGTCACGAATCATACAAGTAACAATTTCCAATCTAACCATAGGATCCTCTACTGCTTCTGCCACGCAAGCGTGGTACATATTTCCTTCACATTCTTTCGGGCCATGCTGGCAGTCAAAGCTCAAATTCCCACTTGCGTCTATGTTGGTGGTAGCCTTGCCGTAGGGTATCAGCTCCACTTCCATGATTGATGCAGCGACTACATAAGTTGGCAGCAATTGCCTAGTGATAAAGTACTTCGAGTCGGGACATAACGCTTCGTAGAACACCCGCACAACAACAGGTGTGAGTGGAGCATGATGATAATTTATCTCTTCCGGCTAAATGATTAAAAAAATTCCATACTTATAAATATGTATTTTCTCGAGTGGATATTTATATAATCTTACCGTTTCAAGTGCAGTATTGAAGAGGAGAATGCGTATCAAAAGACCCACTACCGCAATTATAAATATAAATATGAAAATCCGTTTACGTGTCGGTATCATTTGAATAAATGCAGACTAAAACTTACAATAGCACTACGAATTATTTACATATGTATGTACATCAAAAATACACCCGTAAGTGTATGTACACACTTCAACATACACAATGCAAGCATATCAGCTGTTAGCCAGGGATGGAAAACTTTCTGTTTACTATAATCATTTTCGTTAGCCACCATTGCTGCGATTATTATTATCCGTTTTGAAAGCTCTATATTTTAAAATTTATCACTGCAAAAATTCGTTGGAGTGCTTTTTATCTAATTAAACATATTAAGATATATATGATGTATTTCACGAAAACAAGACGATGAATGCGTCGAAACCACATGGTGTCCCAATGCGCAGGTCCACTATGCCACATTTCTTCGAAAAGCTTTCCAATGACCTCTTTTGATATTTTTAGTACAGAATTTACACAAAATAATTTTTTTGTTTTATTTATTTATTTGTTTAAGTCTTTTATATTTGAGTATACAATCATCTCAAATATTTTAAAACAAAATTATGATCTACCAAAAAACATTCTTTAGTTAAAATTTACATTACTTTTGTATTATTATACGCAAATAGTAACTTATTGTAAGGTAATACTAAATAACCGTCAATAAGATTAACAGTAAGCTTCACTATATTTAACGTATTGACGAGTACTTCTTAAACAAAGGCAAGGTCGCGTTTCCATATCCATTATAAATTTAGTAGCATTCGCTGTTTTGGCAGCTATATACATACATATACGCACATATATCATGCAAAAAGTGTTTATATTCTAAGCGTTTCATAATTATTAAATATTTCAAGTTCGCCTGTAAAAGGTACGCCTGTGCCTTTTGTTATCTCTGTGGCTCAATAGATGGCGCTTAGAAAGCTTTGTTGTGTTTCTGATGCATATTATTGAGCCATTTAGGACTTCAGAAACATCCGTAGTTCTAGTTCATAGTAGTATCTTTTAAAGCTCTAAAAAACAATACAACCAAAATTTGTCCTCCAAATATCCATCAACTAATAGCAATAATAATCTATTTACGATATTTAAAAAGAAATATTCGTGTTTTTATTAATATTTACAGAAATGATAAGTAAAACAGATTTTGCATCAAATATTTGTTTCAATGTCAATGCAATCAAATGACTTCAACTCCTTCCTTCAGGTCCTATAAGAAAAAAATTATTGTCAAAGCATGTTTAATCAAGACTTTTATTATCTGAACAAACAAATGATATTATTATAATTACACCAAATATTAATGTTAGCAAATTTGTTTTGGATAACAAAATACACATATGTCGTGTTTAGTCTTACATATGTGTATTTGTAAAATAACTGTTAAGACATAAGTTTCTTTCAAAACAAGTACGGAAACTAAAGTCGAGTATCCCGACTTTGAAATACTCTGTACATATGTTTAGAATAATTATAGAAATTATAAAATTAAGCAAAATACAAAACAAAAAAAAAACATTTTGATCGATTTTACCTCTCTCGGTATTCGAACTCACGTAAAGGGTTTATAATTGCACATTTACAAAGCAATTGCGTCTATGTGAGTGTATGCATATCCATGCGTGTCTATTCGTGCTTGTGTGAGAATGTTTTCAGTCAACCAAAGCACCAACATCAACAACAGCAAATGCAATTGTAGCAATAACTTTCTGTTAATTCCAAAAAATAAAATAAACTCGTCCTTTCTCGGATCTAGGAGAATGTGGATACCAACTTTGGTTATTCTAGCTTTTATAGTTTCTGAGATCCTTGCGTTCATCCAGACGGACAGACGGACGGACGAACATGTCTAGATCGATTTCTCTCGTCATGCTGATTCAGAATATATATACTTTATGGGATCGGAGGTGCTTGCTTCTGCATGTTACATACTTTGCACAAACCTAATATACCCTTTTTACCTAATTGGTACAGGGTATAAAAACTTAAACGTCAGCATTTCGTCAAAGAGTACGTTAATATAAGTACATACATACATATACAACAATTCGCAAAGTAATTTCAAATATTAAAAACACAGGATCGCAAAAGTATAAAGATCATTTAACTATATATTTGCTTTTAAAAATATGATGCATAATTGCTTCATGTTGTTAAGTCGTCCAGACTTAAAATATTGACCTGTTTATGTGATAATTTAGCTTTTCAGCTTCCTTCCTAGTCTTACCAATTAAATAATACTCATTATTTGCAGTTGCATTCCTACACATGAGTATACCGAGATCTCGATGCGAATTGCAAGCAACCACAAAAACAAACACGTCCAAGTTCAAACACCTGCAAAGGTTCAAAACATCAACGGCGATAATAGAAACACAAACAAAAACGCAACAAACAAACAAATGAGAGCAAAAGAGTGCGGTTCAGCACATGCTGGCCTCGCACACATTTCAATGCGGCACATTAACCCAAAGTGCAGTCAACAGGGCCTGGCCAGGGCGCAAACCTCACCGATTCAAACTGAATATTGAGGTTTGCGCCCAGCGTCATGTACATTCCGGTTACAAACGGTTTCCAGAGGCGTAGCTACAGCCATTCAAGGGAGCTTGAAGTACCACACATGAGAGTTGTGGAAACCATTCACTTCATAAGGAGGCTGAATGCACCCAAGGCATTCGTCCGGAATAGTCTCCAAATCTTATCGATTAGCTCCAGCTAGGTTGTGGAGTGAGTAGTGGAAATGATCAAAGAAAACTTCCTTCGAAAGCAATGACCCACACTTTCACTCCACGAAAGCTATACTATATTAAATAATTAATCTTTTAATATTTCAACAGACATTGAGATCTCGAACATTTCAAAAGTTTTCATATTTAAGCAGCCTTTTGTGAAGGCCTTAAGCATTTTAAACTTAACTCTAGAAAGCTTATTCCATCTTAAATTAAACGAGCATACAAATGTATGTAATGCAAGTATTCTATAAAATTTTCTACTTCCATGTATACGGCGTGTTTTGTGCCTTGACCAGCAAATTTTATGCGACCAGGAAGTTGGTCGTAATTTTGTTTCCGCTTGATTTACAAATATTTGCATGGCAAAACATTTTTGCACAATTTGTGTGCTCATACAGAAAAACAAAACAAAAAGCAAAGAGCCAACTGAAATAAAACTGGCTGGCAAACTGTAATGGCAAGGAAATATTTAACTGTGAGCCGTTCTACTAATTTTTGTATTTTCTTTTTGCAGACTACTTGTAGTTTGCGGTTAGTTGAACGCGCCCGACCAGGTTGATGCAGGCACCGACGAGTTGAAATTTCACTAACGAAGCATTAGTTGCATCATTATTATTTGTTTTATTAAGTTACAGTGTCAAGCACGCGACTGTCGTTATCTGATTACCATCAAATTGTCGACAAGCTTGGTCCTCATTTCTCTTCTTATCACAGCTAACGCTCCAATTTCCATGCCAATTGCCACAAATAAACACAAAATTGCAGCTTTAAATTAAATAAAATCTGCTTCTGTAGCCACTCTCCTGCTCTTGCAAACTATCCACAGCCATTCTAGTTAAGAAACAAATAGCGAAAACGAAACCCGAATTAGCACCGGAATCCAAAAACAAAACTGCATAAAGTTGCCGATGGCAAAGTGCCTGCAGCTGCACGTTCTTCTCTAAACGGATAATGGCATAAGGGCTTATAAGAAGCTTAAATCGTATTTATTTTCAGTCTGCCCTGAAGATTCACAGAATCACAGAAACACAAACAAACATGTGGTTGCATCTCCATTACAGCACACAGCACACAACACACATCAGACAATAGACAACTGTAAACAGGTAACAGGTTGCCGTAATAGACTCTAACTATGTATGTATATTTGATAGTTTGCTTGGTGTGGCATTATCATTGTTTTAACCATTTTACTTTCAGTATTACCACAACAACAACTGCCACAGTATTAGTGGCAGTAACAGTAGACAACAGTACTCCAAGAATCCACAACGGACGCCACACTATTTACGCTGCTCAAATAGCAAATAGGAAGCCAAATACTCACACTTGTACAGCAAAAGGACTATTCTCTCTCTATCTCTCTGAATTTTTTCCTTTTTATACACACATAGTTAACACTCGAGTTTCTTCTTAACAGGCGCCATAAGGAAAATTGTGTTGGTATGATTTAGGCCCAAAGATTTTTAGAAATTAATTGCACATTGAGTTTATGCTGAAATCAGAATCTGAATTATATGATGAAAAAATAAATCGTTGGTTTCTTGCTTCTTGCCAGTATTCAACAAGGCCAAGAAGTGAAGAAATGCTTTCAAGTTTGTTTAAAACGTTACGCCAGACTTCAAAAGTGCATTAGGGGGGACTTTCTGCAATGTCTGTTATTTTTATTAATTTATTGTTAACTTAAACTGTTTTAATTATAGCCCGACTTTAATACATAAAGATGATTGATAATATTAATTATTTTTGCAGAGTTGTGCAACGTTTGTTTTTTGCCTTTTTTGCTTCTTATTGGGGATGGATAAGGGGGGATGGTAAGGATAAACCATCGAAGAAGTCTAGCTTTTACGAAGCTAGCCTGTTGACATTTACAAGAACGATTACGATTACGATTACTACGTGTATATTTAGCACTGCCATCAATAACCGCAATTTGTATCACAGTCAATGCACAACTTCAATAGCAAATCAGCGACGAGCCAATAAATCAAAAGCGCACAAATCTCGAGCGTTTGGTGCAGAGACGTCTGTGTCATCGTCTTTGCCTGTTGCATGTCAATGCAGGGAGCAGCATTTATCAGAGGCATGCCTTTGGCAGCAAAAATGCATTCAAAGGGCGCGTTCACACTCAAATGCATTAATCACGAGTACAGAAGTAGCTAACACATTTTTGGCCAGCTGCTTCGTGCTGAATTTTGAACAGGCAACAAACAAAGTTTACGCAAACATTTGCGCCTGTAAATCGAAACGAAACTGAACATAACGAGGCCACGCCTCGCAAATCAGGCTGTCGCCTGCCAGCGAGCTGGGAGCAAAGGCAG